ATCAGTACATACAGGGAGCAGCACCTGACTATCTGACTGAGCTGATCAGTGCATACATGGAGCAGCACCTGACTATCTGACTGAGCCAATCAGTACATACATGGAGCAGCACCTGACTATCTGACTGAGCCAATCAGTACATACAGGGAGCAGCACCTGACTATCTGACTGAGCTGATCAGTGCATACATGGAGCACCTGTCTATCTGACTGAGCTGATCAGTGCATACATGGAGCAGCACCTGACTATCTGACTGAGCCAATCAGTACATACATGGAGCAGCACCTGACTATCTGACTGAGCCTATCAGTGCACACATGGAGCACCTGACTATCTGACTGAGCTGATCAGTGCATACATGGAGCACCTGACTATCTGACTGACCTGATCAGTGCATACATAGAGCACCTGTCTATCTGACTGAGCTGATCAGTACATACAGGGAGCAGCACCTGACTATCTGACTGACCTGATCAGTGCATACATGGAGCACCTGTCTATCTGACTGAGCTGATCAGTGCATACAGGGAGCAGCACCTGACTATCTGACTGAGCTGATCAGTGCATACATGGAGCAGCACCTGACTATCTGACTGAGCTGATCAGTGCATACATGGAGCACCTGTCTATCTGACTGAGCTGATCAGTGCATACGTGGAGCACCTGACTATCTGACTGAGCTGATCAGTGCATACGTGGAGCACCTGTCTATCTGACTGAGCTGATCAGTGCATACATGGAGCAGCACCTGACTATCTGACTGAGCCAATCAGTGCATACATGGAGCAGCACCTGACTTTCTGACTGAGCTGATCAGTGCATACATGGAGCAGCACCTGACTTTCTGACTGAGCCAATCAGTACATACAGGGAGCAGCACCTGACTATCTGACTGAGCTGATCAGTGCATACATGGAGCAGCACCTGACTATCTGACTGAGCTGATCAGTGACTACATGGAGCACCTGACTATCTGACTGACCTGATCAGTGCATACATGGAGCAGCACCTGACTATCTGACTGACCTGATCAGTGCATACATGGAGCAGCACCTGACTATCTGACTGAGCTGATCAGTGCATACATGGAGCACCTGACTATCTGACTGACCTGATCAGTGCATACATTGAGCAGCACCTGACTATCTGACTGACCTGATCAGTGCATACATGGAGCAGCACCTGACTATCTGACTGAGCTGATCAGTGCATACATGGAGCACCTGACTATCTGACTGACCTGATCAGTGCATACATGGAGCAGCACCTGACTATCTGACTGACCTGATCAGTGCATACATGGAGCAGCACCTGACTATCTGACTGAGCCGATCAGTGCATACATGGAGCAGCACCTGTCTATCTGACTGAGCTGATCAGTGCATACAGGGAGCAGCACCTGACTATCTGACTGAGCTGATCAGTGCATACATGGAGCAGCACCTGACTATCTGACTGAGCCGATCAGTGCATACATGGAGCAGCACCTGTCTATCTGACTGAGCTGATCAGTGCATACAGGGAGCAGCACCTGACTATCTGACTGAGCTGATCAGTGCATACATGGAGCAGCACCTGACTATCTGACTGAGCCAATCAGTACATACATGGAGCAGCACCTGACTATCTGACTGAGCCAATCAGTACATACAGGGAGCAGCACCTGACATTGTTTGTTTTGGTGACTAACGGGATCGGGCAGTCAGGCTCACTGACTTGTTGATACATGTCATCGATCCCAATTGCGTGGATCGATGCTCATGATGTCAATCACCTGATTGTCTGGTCCAGACTCGATTATTTTACAGACCGCCGTCAAATAGCTGGAATACTGCTGAGTGTGGCGTTAAACAACAAACAAACAAGTTTTAAACAGTCGGTCATTTCTGTAATACAGCAGATTCACTCAGCAGACAGCATGAATATCCGGGATGTAAGTTGTTTCCCTGATAGGTGGAGCACCAGAACTGGTACTGATGGTGGTCACAGCTCATGACTGAAGAATATTGCATGTCTTAGGTTGCCTCTGTATGCAGAACATGAGAACACCACACCAGTATTTGATTTTCATCAGAAACATCATTTAAGTTTAAAGAACAGATACTGACAATGCCCAAACATACCAGAAGTTCATTAAATACTCATATAACCACAAGAACAATATGTACTAGATGTTCTTCATGTTACCTAAAGCCCAGTTTTCATTGCACTCATCTCTGCAATAGTCAGTATGCATAAACATGGGATCAGTTCGGCACTCTCAGCTTGTGATGTCAGAGTGAGTGAGTGAGTTGGGTTTAATGCCGCTTTTAACAGTATTCCAGTTATATCACGGCGTGTCAGCTTAATGTGGGAAGAAAGCCCGAAGTGATGCAGGTCTCAGACGTTTACCACTTTGGTGAAACCCACGAGCACGGGTATGGTGCTGACAAACCTAGAAACATAATCAGGGCGAACCGGGATTCGAACCCACAATCATAGGTTTCTGGCGTGCCCAAGGGACGCAACTCTGCACAGCGAATCGCGGCGCCTTAGACGACTGGGCCACCCGTGTGATGTCAGAGATGACAATGGTTGAACATTTTGTCAAAAAACAAATGCTCCGGGAAACAAAACAAGACACTGAAATGCAGCAGGTATACGATAAAATGATTAGAAATCAAACTTAAACCCAACGACTCGAAAGAGACAAACACAAAATTGTGTCAATTTGAATATTGACTTTCTTATTGTGTGGATCTATTATACACCTGTCCAATAACCCAAGAGTACACCCTGTTAAAGATACCTTATTTGAAATCCTTACAAATCACACAAATCAGTTGCTATTGGAGGTCTCAATAATAATTTGAACTTTTCAAATCCTTTTGGTTCGTTGACATTATAAGTTGTAGCAGTATCACCTGGGGACATGTGGTTTTATGCATCCTGCCGAAAAGCTACTTTAGGTTTTGGCGAGTGGTATAAAAACCTAATGCAAATGCAAATTGATCCTACCACATGTTTTAATATGACATTGTAAAAGAATAAAAAAAATTCACAATTGATACAAAACAGCTGTTCGATTAAGCTGAGGTAAAGTTGTGCTATGTCAAGTGACCTCATTGACTCGGGAAAAGTGTGCGGCTTTTCACTTTAAAGTTGCGTATGTGGGATTTATTTTCCCACTCAGAAATCCATGTGCAGCCTGTCTTGTTCATGGCGGGGTATGAAGGAAATATTCTCCTGCTGAGAAATTTCTTTCCCTCCAAGGTATTTTATCAAGATTACGTGAACAAATCAGATCTCATCATTCTGCCATGGAGGAATGATAAAAAGAGTTTTGACACACTTTTTGTGTTAAGAAGGAGCCATTCGATGATGTAATAAAATAGTGGTGTGATTCCAAACTAAGGGTTTAGGATATATGTCATCATCAGTATTGACGCGCACAAAACTGGTCACAGGTGATGTGGGATGGCCTTTAAAGTCGACTTCAAGATTACAGCATTGACATAGCATAGTGTGTGACTGCTTGTACTATCACAGTTTTACAGTGCTAGCCCACTGAGATACCATGCCGCAGTTTTAACATGGATACCCCACTCAGACACAGTGTAGTGACTCCAAGCTGACAAGTTCAAGATACCCCTTAAGGCCGAGCACCAGGCAGAATAACAAGTACCAGCTTTTAACATCTTTTGGTATGCTGCGGCCGGGAATCAAACCCCTGACCTTCCGCTCTCCAGGCAGATACACTTTCTACTTGACCATGGAGGTAGTCCAAATATTGGTCATAAGTGTGAAAAGAATGTGAGACAAGGGGGGTTACAACCTGACATGTGATCATTTGCATGAGTAAATCAACTACAAGCTCCAGAAAGAACCAATACAGTGTTAATGCAAGAATTATGAAAGGACCAGCAAATCCTGGCACAGCAAAGGCACACAACTGTGTTGTGACGCCCTTGAACACATTGGCACTGTGTCTCCACTATGACACAGATGACATTTTCTATAGTCCTAAAAGTAAGTGACCTCCACAGTCTTTTGCACATGGTGATACGAACAAAAATGAGTTACTTCCCTTTACCACTTAAAATTAAATGAAGCCCGCTAAATATAAAATTAACCCGAACAAGTGATTATACAGAGACGTGCATGCACGTGTGTGTGTGTGTGTGGCTGCTTGTACTAGTCTGGACTGATGCCGATTTATAGTGCTAGCACACTGAGATACCATGCCGCAGTTTAACATGGATACCCCACTCAGACACAGTATACTGACTCCGAGGCGACCAGTCCTTGTTTTAGCCCCTTAATGCCGAGCAGGGTGTTACAGGGTAACAACAAGTACCATCTCTTAACGTCTTTTGGTATGACGTGGCCGGGATCGAACCCCGGACCTTCCACTCTCCGGGTGGACACTCTACCACTAGACCACGGAGGCGGTCGCTTAATGTTAGAGGAAAGATTAAAGTGAAGCAGGTCTTCACGTAACTTAAAACTTTAGTGAAACGGACGAGTTTGGGTGTGGCTTTCACAGACCATTGATCATAATCAGGACAAATCTGGGATTTGAAAACTATGATCATAGGATCTTGGCATAACTAAGGGATGTAACTCTGCACAGGGAATTGTGGTAGCCACTGGTGGCGCTATGATCAAACCCAGAAATTCCAGCCTCATTCGGCAAGGTTGGAAACTGGACTTTTACAGTCAGTTAATCCCCCTGCTTTGGGAAGATGGATCATGAGTATTGTTTCCTGATGTTGAAATTTACTTTCCTATCAACATTTCATCTGATAATTTGTTATCCAGTCATGGTAAACCGGAAAGATATTGCCTGCTTTTAATCAGAAAGCTAATGCATTGTAACAGCAGAGTTATTTCAACAATATATAAAATCAACTGTGTCCGGGCTCTCATGCCCACATGGCACATTGGCAAACAACCACAGTAGCTCATTCTTAAAGGGAGATAACTTGGGATGAGGAGGGAATGGAGTATGTTCAACCTACTAGTCATCACAGTGCTCCCAGAAAGTGGTGTCTTCGGATATCCATGGGTTGGAGGGCAACACTGCAGTAAGGAAACTGTCGTTGTCTTGATACTGCTCGTGTCTCTGGGCATAGCTGAAAACACAAAAACAAAATGTGGTTGAAAGGTCCAAACCCTCAATTGAATTACCATTTTGACGTAATAAGCGCCCCGCTTTAATAAGCGCCCACTGCGATATTTGCTAATATATTGGCACGTGAACAATCCCAATTAGCACCCCTTCCGATTGATCAATGTAAACAAGACTTATTCATTCGCGTATAATACGCACTCCTGTGTTATATGCACCATTAATTATGGGCAATTAAATTCTGGAGAAATATATCTGCCATACATAAATATTTCAGGCTGTCAGCATAAACCACGAAATTTATCTTTCAGCCCCTATTTCTTATTTTGAGAGCGCCCTAGGCGCTTATTACGTCGAATACAGTATTTTCTTATCTCAAATAATTTCCCATGATACAGTAACCTTATCAGTATGTTCCAGACAATTTACGCTGCAATGTATCAAATCATCTAACAGTAACAATAACCAACAGCATATCAAATAGATCCACATTTCATCAGTGTTTGCTATTCTCAGTTCAGGTGAGATTGATCAAGCGTTATCACATACCAGATTCAGCAATACTCCAGCCACACATCATAGTGACAAGTAGGGAGAAATCTCGACCAGGCAAACTAGAGGTCGATGGCATGAGCATCCACATTGTCAGGGCACAATTACACAATCTGCCAAGTTACTGGTTATAACCATCTGATCCCCCCGAGGGCTCTTAAAACAGGCACTGTGTCTACACTCCAATTTCAATTTATGAGTGAGTGAGTGAGTGAGTGAGTGAGTGAGTGAGTGAGTGAGTGAGTGAGTGTGGTTTTACGCCGCTTTTAGCAATATTCCAGCAATATCATGGCGGGGGACACCAGAAATGGGCTTCACACATTGTACCCCTGTCGGGAATCGAACCCGGGTCTTCGGCGTGATGAGCGAACACTATAACCACTAGACTACCCGACCACCCAGGACACTATTCCTCATCCCACTTATCACTGAAATGAGAAGAACTACTTGATCCTTCAATATGGCCTGACAACCTTACAAGAAAGGCAACCGAAAACTTTCCTGAGTTATGCTTCGGAAGCTTTGTCTCATCTCACCTCTCAATCGCCTTTAGCGTCTTCATTCTACATCTGTTCACAGCATTCCTCAAATATCTAACCTGAAAAATATAATCAATACAGTCTTAAGTCCATGTAATCCACGTGTGAAATTGCATTAAATATTCAGAATTTAGTTTATGTGAAAAACAACATCTCTCTCTCTCTTTGCTCAAATAAATCACTTCCAGTGCAGCATCGTCAGGTCTAACAGTCCATGAAGCCTGACAAGGTTTATCATACTCATTAATAAATCACAGTGTTGTAAGTTGCTGCATGACAGACAGCTCCAACCTTGATGGGTCTTCTCCTGCTCATAAACCATGGACGTTGTTGTCTCATGCATACTTATCGTTCCTATATCTTCGTCACCCAAAAAGCTACTAAGGATGTTAATGCGATTTTCAACCTCAAACATAAAAAAGTCTGACTATGCCCCACGGAGTTGCCAATATTCATCAGCGGGTAGATGTTGCAGTCAATGTAATTTGTGAAATGTGCCCAATTTCAATGTCAGAAGTAATCACCGAACCATAGAATCAAAATTTCTAGGAATACAAATTGGTGTGAATTGAGTCTCTCTTTAAACATCTCTCAACAAATGTCTCTCGTTAGATGTATTTCTTCAAATCAGCCCTGCATCACTATTTTGCCTGAGCGAATGCATATTCTCTGAAACTTGTTTTGACATCAGCAACAGTTAGGTAACCGTTGCTATGTTGAAATGATAGTCTATCTAACACTGGCTACAGAACCAGCACCTTCATAACTCTGTGCAGATCATTATTCCTAAAATGCACATCATGCTCATACACTCACGAGAGTTACATTTCTAATGTTATCCACGATCTTGACACAGCCACGACTAGTGAAAATCTGGAGGGACTAGTTTCTAAAAAAAAATTAGATTTTTTTCACAACCGCTGGTCCAAAATGTGAGTGAGTGAGTGAGTGAGTGAGTGAGTGAGGGAGTGAGGGAGTGAGGGAGTGAGTGAGTATGCTTTTTACGCCGCTTTTAGCAATATTCCAGCAATATCATGGCTGGGGACACCAGAAATGGGCTTCACATTTTGTATCGAAATCGGGAATCTAACCCGGGTCTTCAGCATGACGAGCGAACGCTTTAACCCCTAGGCTACCCGACCACCCCGTGGTCCGAAATGAGCTGTGGACTAGCTGGATATCACCTATGGTGTTTGTTTGTTTAACGCTGCACTCACGAGCCTGACCACCTGATCCTGTTAGTGGCCTCTAAAGACAAGCATAGCTGACTTTTACGGCCAGCATGGGCTGCTGAAGGCCTAATTTAACCTGGACCTTCACGGGTACCTCGAGTGAGTGAGTGAGTGAGTGAGTGAGTGAGTGAGTGAGTGAGTGAGTGAGTGAGTGAGTGAGTGAGTGAGTGAGTGAGTGAGTGAGTGAGTGAGTGAGTGGTGTCTACCCCCTGCCACTGAGTGAGTGAGTGAATAGAGTTCCACGTCACAGTTCCAAGCTCTATCACAGCAGTGAGATGATACTGACATCAAAGCTGAAAATATTCTAGCCAGAAAAAACCCAGAAACTTCATGGTCTAAGGATCCCAGTAAAAGGTAGCTAAAATAATATATTTTCTATCCCTGTGGTCCCTGTTGCAAATGACATGATACACATATCCACTGGCCATAGAGCAATAGAGAATACTACCTACAAGGATAGAATGATTTGATGTATACTTATAACATGTGCATTTTAGTGATTCTCAATGCTGATTGGTCAATTGATGCCATATGACATCATAGAGCCTTAAATTGTCAATGAACACTCGTGAATGAATGCTGTAAGTATGATTAACATTCCCTAGGGACAGACAACATGGACAAGACGTAATTCTTTTAGCTCATTGGTTATTCTATGATTATGTTTCATTCACAATTCTTTCTACATATTTGAATAAGTAAATGAGTGTAATTTTACACAGCACATTTTGGCAGACAGGACTTTGTACCCATGCGAGGGAACCCTTTAACACTGGACGACACAACCTCATCTGATGTAATGATAGCTTACATACTTCTGCCTTAAACATATTAGTCGCTATATAAGTGCAATAATCTTGGACGCGACGTTAAACCCAATTTCACCTCACCTCACCTTAAACATATTCCCAACACTTCAAAGGTTTCATAAATTTTGGAAACATATTTATCAAACTGATGTGAAAAGGTATTCACCAGTAACTGTGATTAAACTGTCACACTGTACCACAAGCTACTCAGATGTCAAATTGATGGTGTCTGGTAGCTAAGTGCAAGAAAATGTCTGACATTCACACATTCTCATCATAGTTATCTCCCTTGCGTGGCTGCACTGAGTTTGAACTTCACCTTCAGCCATTTCTATACATGAATTGTGTTTTACAAATATTCGTTCTTTGGCATTGGTGTTATCAGATAACACTACAAGGAATTTGTGTTTGCTAACAGTAAATACAAAAAACAGGAAGCACATTTTTTCACATTGGTGATATAGTCTGCCTTGCACAAAATTTCCTCAAAAATTGCCTGATTTAATCTTCCTGTTGAACCTCCTCCTCTCTGACACTGGGTCACGCCTGTCCTATCTACTCCCACCAACACAACCACTACAGTGTCCATCCTAACCACAAGTCTTTTCTGTGAGTGAATTAAAATCTAAATCAGTATTTGGGTCATATTGCGACCAAAGTCTTTCTGAAGCTGTATGTCCCGTAGGAATAGACTTGTGAAGCCTGACAGGGTGTAAGGTCAGAAATGTTACCTGTTTCTCTAGAAAGTTCTTATTCTTTCTCCGGTTGTCCATCTGACTAATCATGAAGTATCTCTTCGGTCCGCCTTCAACTCCCCTTATGTGTCCGGGCTGCAGAATACACATGTAGCATGAGGGTTATACCACGATCTCTAGCTAGACATTATAATACTTATACATCTACTCTCCATAGGTGTCACTGATTGGACAGTTTGGTATTGATATATCGCCTAAAAAGTATCACAGTATATCAGTGTTTGAAATAAACTAAATTCTCAGGGTGCCTTCAGGTCCCATTTCAGGACTTAAGAAGCTGCAGGCCCAGACTAAACTCTTCAGGCCCTCATTTTAAAAAACCTACAGCTTATTGTGACAAGTACATCCACACATAAAGTTAAGGCACGCTAAAAGGACCCAAACAAATTTGAAACTACAGGCCCGACCTGAGATCTACTTGCCACAGGCCTACGGCCAGGCGATTATTTCAAACACTGCAATATATCAATTATATTAATAAATCACAACATTAGCCATTCTACATGTGCATAGATAAAGCATTTCCTATCTAGACCTGCAATAATCAACTTCATGCTATATATGAACAAGACTGATCTATTAAATGTTTCAAACTGAATTTTCTGCCTCGTGAATTTCAGTGGAAGTTTGTATCGATACAGTATCGAGATTAAAAATATATCGATTCATCACTCTCTCCAAGATGTTGAACACATTCGGAACACTGTCAGTGTCTTCCTTGTGATGTCATTATAAGCGTGTACGTTTCAAGACAAGTGAAAAGACTGGTCACGTGATATATGCAAATTAGCTTGTGGCAGTGTTGTTATGCTGAATCATTACAGTGCTGGAGTGTGCTGTTTGCTGAACACCTTGAATCCCCACGCAACATGATTTCGAGCCCCACCTCTATTTAAGCACCCAAACATTACGTAACAACTCCCTTAATGACGTAATCAGGGTAGACGCTTCAAAGCCATATAAAAACAGTAAAGTGTTGGCCACATGTTGCTGAAGTTATGTTACGAATTAAGCTACATGATGTAAGATATGCAACAAATAATGAAAACATACCTCAAAACTTTCTTTTTCACTAATGAACATTTATATCAAACTTGATCTGATGAAATTTTTTGAAACAAAACGTATGTATCAATTACATAGCAGCTGCTATTTGTAAACTTCCTGTGTGTAAAGTCATGTGACTAATCATGTTGTGCATCTATTTTTAACTTGACTGTCATGGAGGGGCTCGAAATCATGTGACAGTAACAAGATGCCGCCTGATTGACTTTATTATCACAATACAATTAACAAGATATGGTCATTTGACCATGCAAGTGTTAACAGAAATAAATGTTCTCCAAAGTAAGCCCTAACTTTAGTGTATTGGGATTATTATAAGAAATACTTCTTAGGTGCTCGAAAACATAATATGCGAGTATAAATACCAACACTACAAGCCACATGCCAGTGTTAGAAATTGGCACTAGTCCTACAGTCATTGCCAAACTGCCCAATAGCTAAGGTATCATAAGGACCAGTAGAAATTTGCCATTTTAAAGGGTTCTGCTATTTGTTATCTTTATAAGGACTTGTGGAGTAAAACTGTTAGTTTCTAAAGTTGTCTCCCCTTACCGGTGGCCGGTGTATTCTCCAGAAAGCCCTTTCTTGACTGTCAGTGATGACTTTATCTGTCCTCTTCCTGTCTTTAGCGATTCTGGAATTGTTAAATTCAATACATATGAAATACTTATGATTTCCACACAGTGCAAAGCTCAAGGACCCATTAAACCCATTTCAACCGTATATGTGATCAGAAATGTCTAATTTCTATGTTTCATCTAGGAACGTGTTGACTGGCAAGAGGGTACTCAAAGACTGACGTTCTCCTCACCTGACTTGGTCTTGTGCCTGAGTCTGAATTGTCTCCCATTTATCACACAACATCTTCTGCAGCTTGCTGTACACGTTCTGCAAACAGTAACATCGGTGGAACTCCCTGACACTGAATCTTTGTATTGACTTTCCAACACTTCCAGTTGTTTCTCAGAATGCATTGTTCACCCAGAAACATGTTTCAGTTGTTATTATTATTATTTTTATTATTTTTATTATTATTATTATTATTATTATTATTATTATTATTATTATTATTATTATTATTATTATGTACTGCACATATACAGGTACCAGTATCTGCTCAAATGTGGTTTTATTTGTTCCCCGTGGACCCGTTTCCAGTTATCATTCTCAACTCCCTGGGGAGTATACAACCCACACAAATTTGCATCACGATAACCTTGCATTTATAAACAGGGTTTTATCTGGACCTCCTCAGAGGCCAATATTTGTCCCAAAGGCTGTAGTAAATGTCAGTAAAAATTCCAAATTCGAACTAGGAATTTACCAATTCCTTAGAATTTGCTAAAATAAGTACCATTTTCCCAATTTGACAGCCAAAGGCCCTTAGTTTGGATATCCCAAATAGATTCCTGATTAAGCTGAAGACAAATTACCCACACTAGTGGTACACACCATATATGTAGTGCTACACACCATATATGGCAATGTGCCAACTAAATATGTCACATTTGCCAACTTCTACTTGTAACATCCAAACAAGAATAACAGGTGAAAATGAGGCATAATTTTAATGCTTAAAGCATGAACAGTTGATGACAAATACTTTACCTGTTCATAATCTTCCAAGCCATGTTTCTGTTTATTTCGCATAGATCGCTTGGTCAGATGGATTGCTGGAACGGAAAATGTTACTTTAAAAAAATATTCAAATGGCTACTGATGTTGTCAACTACTCATAAACCTAGCTGTTCATATTGCCACTCTAAACCCACTCGTGACACAAGTTATCTCCCTTTCCCCAACCATCATAATGCTACAAACACAACCAGATTTGTGCAGTAGATAAATCGTTAAATATAAAACATTCCTTCCAGTAGGTGTCAGCTTTTAATGTAAAGTATTATCAAGGAAATGGAGAGTCTCATAACAAAAGCATTCTACCCAAGTTGTGCCACCCTGAGATAGCTAAAACTTTCAACTGTTTCAACCATCATACAAAAAATAATAGAAAATTGAGAATTATTTCACTTCCTTAAAAAAACCTCTTGGATATTTAGATATAAGCGATAGACAAATTACAACAATGCACTGTCATGTAATATACAAGATAGCTATGCAATAAAACAATGAAGAACAAGGCATGGTATATTTTCCGATAAGACATTGTTCTATAATGATGCCATTTCTGGAGATTCAAACACATGATCGCAATTTAATGTCATCGTAAATTTGACGAAATTATTTTTGAGAGGGTAACAAGTTGTGAGTAGTGAGTGCGGCAATGCAATACAACGCAATGGCCGAACAATCATATCCAAAATGGGTGAGATATGGTAATCGGTATTGGCAGAAAAGGTACAGGTAATCGCCTCGAGAATTGTGAGAATATTCAGGAAATACCAAACGTAACCCCCTTGTTCATTAAATGGACTTGTCCGACATTGACTGTATTCAGGGAATCATCATTATTTAAATACAGATAAACATTATTAAAGCTTGTAAATTTTAAGAACATCCTTTGGGAGGATGTTTTGTTGATAAGAAATTAAGAAATAAACAACTCATGGTCGTTGTTTATCATTCAATAAAACACTGTAGGGAGGATAAACCACCATGCTCCCTTCAAGGTTTATTCTCTCTGCAGTGTTTTAGTGAATCATAAACAAGTCCCCCCACATCGTGTTTTTCTCGAATACAAACCCAGCCTAGTTAACTTACCATATGTAACATTGTCAGGTTCTGTATTATGCGAGGCCCAGTAGAAGGGGCACTGAAACAGCAAGGCAAGGTTAACCGATGTAAGCAAAAATAAGCATACCGTAATTACCTGAATAATGTTGAAAAATGTCAGGTTAACCAACACTGTGAAAGAAATAAAAAACCTGCCCTTAAAAACACCTGGTCAGAATCCCTTTAGACTAGACTGGGGCGGTGTGGTAGCCCAGTATTTAAAGTGTTCGGTTGTCACGCCAAAGACCCAGGTTTGATTCCCCTCATGGGCACAATGTGTGAAGCCCATTTCTGGTGTCCCCAGACACATACTGGATCGGCCAACTCTGCACAGAGAGTCAAGGCCACTGGACCTTTCCTACATCCACAGAGGGGTTTGGGGATACACCAGTGCTAGATGGCAATTTCTAAATGACAGACAATTAGTTAACAACTGTCACTTAGTTGACTATCACTCAAGTCATTCTATTCTTACTGTGCATAAGAGCATAAATCATTATCGGTACGGAAATTAAACAAGAATGTTAATTCTACTACCAGTCCGAACAGTGAAAACATATAGCAATACCAACCGAAAGCCCTTTAACTTTAACAAAACTGGTTAGTGCTAATTTCCATCCCTGCTTAAACCCTCTAGATTCACCTCGTGTATTTCATCAATACTAATAATTCAATTAAAAGAGCACACTAGGTACTGCATCCTATGAATACGATAAATATTATAAAAAGTTCTTCAGTTTCCCCTTCCTGTCCTACCTGGAACCTGTAGAGCGAGATGTCCCCCTTAACGACGAGGGTCTTATTGTCTGTGATGGGGAAGAAGTAGCCATATTGGCACAACAGCTGGGCCAGGTGCAGTGCCTCGCTCACGTCCTCCTCACTGATGTTCAGGTGGTGCCGCAGCCATGTGATCAGGTCATAACCTGAAGCAGGGTTCATACAAATCAAGGTCATACAAGTCACAAGTTCAAGGCTTTTTAGGGGCCTTTTCAGGGCTCCTAACCTCTAGAATCCCAATAACATTTTTTTTCTACATACCCTCAAAGCAAGTGGCACCCGATATCTACACACAGTTGGATCAAGACATACCGTATTTGCCTTATAAGCGCCCCGCCTTATAAGCGCCCACGGCGATATTTGCTTATATATTGGCTAGTGAACAATCTCATTTAGCACCCCTTCCGATTGATCAATGTACATAAGACTTATTTATTCGCGTAGAATACGCACTTGTGTGCTAAATGCACCCTTAATTATGGGCAATAAAATTCTGGAAAAATATATCTGTCGTACATAAACATTTCAGGCTGTCAGCATAACAATGAAATTTATCTTTCAACTCTGGTTTTTTTCACCAAAATTTATTCTAATCCAAGGCCCCTAATACTAATTTTGAGAGCGCCCTGGGCGCTTATTACGTCGAATACGGTATTGAATGGTGTTGGAGTTATGCTCGCGATGGATGGAAGGCAACATGAAAAAAACCAGGTGCAGTCTGTGTCTGTGAGTCCACTAGCCCGAACTTAGCATCATCTTGATTACATTTTAGTGTTATCCAGTGGACTTTAGATAGGTCCGGGCTTCGGATGAGTGGCTAAAGTCTGCAGGTGCTTAATACAGATGATTCCTAACGACTGAAGACGTGCAGAGATGCAATAGTGAAGCTCTTCGTATTATAAGGACTCACACAATGGACTTTGCCTTTGCATTCGGGGCAGTCCAAAATTTGAGTGTGTTTCTTGTCAGAAAAAAAATCTCAGTCTTATATAACATGTAATATACAAGTTTTATTAGTTTCAATGAACCAAACAGTCTTTCTGGGTTCTCTTCAATCGGAATGTAACTTATTCGCCTCCATTTTCAATTTGGATGCCATATGTGGTGTCATGTAACACCCTGATCTGTACCCTCTGATATTGGTGAATAGCACACGTACCTGTGAATACTGACGGAATGGTGGAGAGGAATGTTTTCTGACACTTCACCGGAACACCAGTTTTGGGGTTCTGCATTTCCAATAACAGCTTCTCCATCTGAAACACAAAGTGGTTGCATATAGATTGTGAGGAATAACTGGGATAAATACCAATACCTCTACCAGTGAGTGAGCGAGTGAGAGGGTGAGTGAGTGAGTGGTGAGTGATTGAGTGGGTTATGAGTGGTGAGTGAGTGAGTGAGTGAGTGAGTGAGTGAGTGGGTTATGAGTGAGTGAGTGGGTTATGAGTGAGAGGGTTATGAGTGAGTTGGTTATGAGTTGGTTATGAGTTGGTTATGAGTGAGTGAGTGAGTGAGTGAGTGAGTGAGTGAGTGAGAGTGTTTTATGCGACAATATTCAAGCAATAGCAAAGTGGGGTACACAAGAAATGGGTTTCACACATTGTACCAGTTTGGATCAGAACATCTGACATTAGGCAATCTGACCCACTGACAGTAAATACTTGACTGAGGTCCAAGCAAACCAGTCGTTGAGAGCATGAACAACAAGCTATGCCACTGGCATACCCATCTCACAGACAGCCATGTCACACACTACAATCATATGCTCCTCGTTCTCCTTAAATCATAAAGTTTGTGGATACAAGGAACCTCAAATACTCAAGGAGCAAAATCTCAAGGACACCCTATCATATCATAAACTCCCTATCAACATCATCAATCACATGAATTAATTGTATTATTGTTTGTTTGTTGTTTGACACCGCACTCAGCAATATTCCAGCTACTGTAAATCTTGAAATTAACATGAGCGTGAATTAAATGCGCAAAATGCGAGTGTTCTTTGCTCGCATTATTAAACATTTAGATAGCAGAAATACCAACTTAGACATATGCTGAAAATAAACAACTATGTATTCCACATCACTGTTTATTGAGCAGCACTTGTAAGAAGTGTATAAACAATGTCATTCAAAAACTAATTACATCCTGTGAATTGTCACTGCTGGGGTCAAGACAAGAGTTCTATTCACTGATCACTGATCACACCTGCAAGTCCAGACAGAGGACATTTTCTTTATATATAAATCCACTGATGCTTGAGAGGAGGGGATGTCGCATTCATTTTGAGACACATTAATTTCACGATTTAGAGTATATGATGGCTGTCTGTAAGTAACGGGGTCTAGTTCAGACAATTTCAGTGATTGACATCATGACATCAACTAAGTCAGCAAGCCTCCCCACCCAATCGCGTTAGTGGCCTCTTACCACACGCATCGTTTGCTGAAGACCAACTGTAATCCAGGTCGACACAATGGTATAAACCCTACAATAGCTGAATCCAGGTCAACACAATGGTATAAACCCTGCAATATCTGAATCCAGGTCTGCACAAGGATATAAACCCTGCAATATCTGAATCCAGGTCAACACAATGGTATCAACCCTGCAATATCTGAATCCAGGTCTGCACAAGGATATAAACCCGGCAATATTTGAATCCAGGTCAACACAATGGTATAAACCCTGCAATATCTGAATCTAGGTCAACACAATGGTATAAACCCTGCAATATCTGAATCCAGGTCAACACAATGGTATAAACCCTGCAATATCTGAATCCAGGTCTACACAATGATATAAACCCTGCAATATCTGAATCCAGGTCAACACAATGGTATCAACCCTCCAGTATCTGAATCCAGGTCTACACAATGATATAAACCCTGCAATATCTGAATCCAGGTCAACACAATGGTATAAACCCTGCAATATCTGAATCCAGGTCAACACAATGGTATAAACCCTGCAATATCTGAATCTAGATCAACACAATGGTATAAACCCTGCAATATCTGAATCCAGGTCAACACAATGGTATAAACCCTGCCATATCTGAATCTAGATCAACACAATGGTATTAACCCTGCAATATCTGAATCCAGGTCAACACAATGGTATTAACCCTGCAATATCTGAATCCAGGTCAACACAATGGTATAAACCCTACAATATCTGAATCCAGGTCAACACAATGGTATAAACCCTGCAATTTCTGAATCCAGGTCAACACAATGGTATAAACCCTACAATAGCTGAATCCAGGTCAACACAATGGTATAAACCCTGCAATATCTGAATCCAGGTCAACACAATGGTATAAACCCTGCAATATCTGAATCCAGGTCAACACAATGGTATAAACCCTGCAATATCTGAATCCAGGTCAACACAATGGTATAAACCCTGCAGTATCTGAATCCAGGTCTACACAATGATATAAACCCTGCAATATCTGAATCCAGGTCAACACAATGGTATAAACCCTGCAATATCTGAATCTAAATGAGATGAGCCACATTTCAGTAGAGTGAGTTAGTATTGTTTTACGCCCCTTTTTGCAAATATTCCAGCAACATCACGGCAGTGGCACCAGAAATGGGCTTTTACAGTCATAGTACCCGGGCTTCGGTGTGACAGGCAAACACTTTCACCACTGGACTATCCCATCGCCCCCACTTTTATAGAAGAAAGGTCGAGTTCGGTAATGTTGTCAATTTCTAAAACCATCAACATCTATCGCTGTACTCAAACAATTTACCTCATCCATAAGCTCATCAGCCAAGTGACATGGCGATGAAGTGTGTGATATACTGGCAGTTATGAATGCGAGGGAGAATATCACAGGATGATCATAAAGTAAGTCAACGTTTCAGTGACTGACTCCTTGTTTACCACTGATGGAAAAAAACACTATTTTACTAATGGCTTATCAACTTCAAAGGTTACTTTCTCATGACCAGAATGTCAGCCATGATTGTTGAGTTACTGGTCATGTTGGCAACCACTGTGCTATCCGTAATGGATGAGTAGGAGCCCATTTATGAAATCAATACATAAATAGAATTCTTCTTAACTTTAAGCCTTAGTGTTTAGTTAAACTTTATGAGCAGATTTGGGAATTCTGCCAAGTCAACCGTCTGAGGGATGGGTCTGCAGTCAGTATAGGGTGTTATAGGGATGGGTCTGCAGTCAGTATAGGGTGTTATAGGGATGGGTCTGCAGTCAGTGTAGGGTGTTATTGGGAGTGGGTCGGCAGTCAGTATAGGGTGTTATAGGGCTTGGGTTGGCAGTCAGTATAGGGTGTTATTGGGATAGGTCTGCAGTCAGTATAGGGTGTTATTGGGATAGGTCTGCAGTCAGTATAGGGTGTTATTGGGAGTGGGTCGGCAGTCAGTATAGGGTGTTATAGGGCTTGGGTTGGCAGTCAGTATAGGGTGTTATTGGGATAGGTCTGCAGTCAGTATAGGATGTTATTGGGATAGGTCTGCAGTCAGTATAGGGTGTTATTGGGATAGGTCTAGGGGAATCCGAATGACTCAATTGACATATTTGCACTGATCACAAAATACAATATGACAGAGGCAACATTCAACATATTACCAATTCACACCTTAATTAAATCTCAAAACAATTTTTTTCAGCAAACACTAATGAATTCACTTGAGAGAAGAACTAATCATAACTCCACACGGTTACATAACATTATCCTCACATAGAAAATCAATCTGCTGCTGGTTGCGGAGTGGACGGCAAACAGCAGCACCAGGTGCCGTGGTGCGCTTACACTTCCATTAAAATCTCAGCTGGGAGGTACCTTATCGGCCTCTGGTAAAAACCCTATAAAAAGCACACCACCATTCTTCTACCTCAAGGCAGATACAACACAAGTTGTCAGTTTTGTGTATGGTTTTAAAGTCTACTAGACTTGGTTAGTGTCCTTGTTTAGGATTCATACATTTAATTGGGTTTATAATTACCACAGAATTTGGTGTAAGCAAACGGATATAGCTAACCTATCTTACACCTTACATTTTTGGTAATAATATCATGATAATTCATATATAGTTCTACACCTTTAAGCATCGATATACATAAATTTCACATGGCATTCAGCAGCTCAACTGACAATGAGTGAGTGAATATGGTTTTATGCCGCTTTTAGCAATATTCCAGCAATATCACTGCGGGGAACACCAGAAATGGATTTCACACATTGTACCCATGTTGGGAATCAAACCTGGGTCTTCGGCGTCACGAGCAAACGCTTCATCCACTAGGCTAGCCAACCACCCTCAACTGACAATGAAAAGTATCTGTTTATTCTAAAAAATTAATGAAATATCAGCTATTATCTAAACGTGTAAACAGGAAAGACACTTTAACTGTTATGCATTATGAGAATGTATTGATAGATAACGCTTTACAATTGTAACGACCACATAGAATCCATATCCAAAGGGAGATAACTCCCATACTGCCAATCTTGAATGTTTCTCCCCCTCAGAAAACAAAGAGTTTTCTCGTCCATTGTTTGAATCCAAGACAAAGCCTGAATCAATAGCCTGACATTTTTTAGCGATATTCAAAAGCCATACATCAATTTTTCCTTTAGTCCACAGACTAAGATAAACAGCCAAAGAGATAACCTCTTTCTTCCAAGCAACTCCAATACTCTAAAGTACTCCTAACCTTACTCAAAGGAGTCAATAAAGACTTTTATATTACCATATTCCTATGATCATTAGTTTGGGTGATGGGTTAAAAAGATGAAAATGTGTGTTGAAATGGACAGCGCCACCTGTCAGGAAAGCAGGACGCTACCATCACGATTATTGATTGGTAATAATGCAATAACTGTTAATACATAGCCACATGACCTACCGTAAACACCATGTCTAAAGATGTGATTGGCTTTATATCAATGGGAACCCACTGTTCAATCAACTCACATCGGCACACATCTGTTAAGGAGCATTAGCTAATATTTGTGAGGATCGGTGAAGAATAGAAATCACTTTGGTTCAGTCGCAACATTAGCTGGGTCTGTTACTCGGTCAATAGATGATACGGAGAGAGGCAGCAATAAAATTGGTCTGTAGGTTTCATGGGAAACAAGAACACCATTGTATATAGGTGAGTGAGAGCAGTATATCACAGTCTGTGAGTTAATGTGGGAGGAAAGCCTAAAGTGATGCATGTCTTAGGTGTTTTACCATGTTAGGAAATCCAGCAAAGCAGTAGACTGCTGACA